TTACACACTTTTACTCTGGAAGGAAGCCAATGATTGCCCAATGGACCAAGCTAGGAAAACTGATTGTTGAAGTCAAACAAGACCAATCTTTTAAAATATGGACTCAGAGTTCCAACCACCCTCTCCACCATCAGCAACGATACCACCACCACTCTACCTTCACAAGACTTTGATCTGGGATTGTATCTGTAGCCTTCAGGGCATTCACATTCGAAGCCTCCTGGGATGTTCTTGCACACAGCTGTGCCACAAATGCTTGGCTTTATAGAGCATTCATCCACATCTACAAGTGAAACCAATGTATTAAAAAAAAAAACAAAACATTTTTCCCATGCCAAAAGACCCTAGCAAAGAACTCCTTCTTGATTTGTGTTTCTCAGATCTAGTTTAACATAGGTAAAGAGGCAAACGATTGGCCTTGGAACAACAACATAATTAAATATATCATCGTATTTTAATTCATTAAATATGATTTCCTTATACAAATGCGGAGGGAATTTGATTGATGTTAGCCATGTTCCTTTATAGTTACACAAAAGAAGCCTTTAGACATTTTCTGGTCTGGCAGATTATAGCATGAAAATAAATAGAAGAAGAGATTTAAACATAGTCTTAATATTCTTCAAATGTATTCCTAATTATGTCTGTCTGAAATGGATCCTGAAAGTAGATTCACTCCATATTATCATGAACATAAAAGAAATTAGATAGCTCATCTGTTTTACTTTGTTCCTTTGGAAATGGACAAATATCTAGTCTGTATGCTACTGTTGTTGCCTGAAGTATACAATAGTGATTAAAATTTAAAATGAGTTTGAGTATGATCTCCAAGTACTTGTAAATCTGCAGTTAGCCCAATAGTAGTGCTACACTAATACTCCACAAATTTCAGAAGTATTTATTATAGTATATAACAAAGTAGGAAACAAAATATTGATTGTAACTAGTTACTAGATGAGAACCTCTGAGAAAACAAAACGCGTGACAAATAGTTCTATGGAGACGACGTAATTATTACTGAACTTTTCTCATCATTACTCTCCGGAGAAAGACAAATTCAAAATGGAAAATTGATTTTTTATTCTAAAAAGCTGATAATTCTTATCCCATAAACTAATAGCTAAAATTTTAGATATTACTCTGTCTAAAATAGCTTGCATAAAAATAATGGAATCAGTTTCCTTGTGGAAATTTTTCTGTATTTTCACTGTATCAAGGTCAGTACCTTTATGACACTGTACTATAATTTTGGAAAATAATGTTGCTATGAAGGGAAACTGGGTAAAGGGCACAGGGGATCTCTCTGTATCATTTCTTACAACTTCATGTGAATCTTGAATTAATTAAAAATAAAGTAATTTTTAAAGTGCCATAAAGTTTTAAATTAACTAAAAACACATAACTCAATTTTTTTTTGGCTTGAGGTATATTGCAGGGAATTATTTAGATCATATGTATTTAGGTTATAGAACAGTGATTTTTATGACTCCACACTGACATCTAATGTCTGGTAAAAAAGTTTTATTCTTATATTTTTACACAATTACTGGCAACTTGATCCCAGGCATATCAAGGTCTTGGCAAAGGTCCTATTGTAATAGTTTTATGCATATTTTTCAAACTATTCTGTACTCAGTCACTTAAGTATTGTGGATAAAGAACTATGCAAATGAAGACTATAAGAACCTATGTCTGGTCACTGGGAACATTCTTATTTATAAGAAGCTGTTTTGCAATCATTTAGATATATGTGTGTATGTGTACTAACTCAATGCATGAAGTTTAAATGCTTTTAAATATTAAAACTCAATACTTTAAAAAAACAGACTATTCAAGTATTTAAATGTTGAAGAACAAATAGGTACTTTTTTTAATAGAATGTTTATGGTGTCCAGAATTGTGACAGTTTTCTATAATTGGTTCTCTAATGATACTCTTATTCTAAATATCTAAACTCAAGCAAAGACTTTCAAATAGGCCGATAAGAAAGATATATGGTCACAAACTGAATAGTCATTTGGAAGAAACAACTAGTTAATGAAGTTCCTTTAGAGTTGTATACTAACTGCACCTTAAGTAATATTACAGTAAACTATACCATACCAAAAATTACAGTGTAGTAACAGACTATGTGAATATGAATCCAGTTTGTAGATTTACCAAAACAGATACAAAGAGCTAAACAAGAAAACTTTGTGTTTTGGGGTTGTTGTTGTTGGTTGGTGTTTTTTTTTTTGGTTGTTGTTTGTTTGTTTGGGGGTGTTGTTTATTTTTTTGATGCAGGGTCTTACTTTGTTGCCTGGGCTAGAGTGCAGTGGCATCACAGCTCACTGCAACCTTAAACTCCTGAGCTTAAGTGATCCTCCTGCTTTAGCATCCTGAGTAGCTGGGACTACTGGTGCACATCACCACACCCAGTTAATTTTTCTTTCTTTCTTTCTTTTTTTTTTTTTTTTTGTGGAGACAGGCTGTCAGGAGTCTCTCTCTTGCTCAGGTTGGTCTCCTACTCCTGACCTCAAGCAATCCTCCCACCCCGGGCTTCAAAAATGCTACTATTACAGACATGAGCCACCATGCCTCGCCAGAAAACTTATCATTGCAACTTAACTAATACTTTCTTTCCTTCTAGCTAAACAAAGAAGGAGTGTGTATGTGTGGTGGGAGAGACTTCTGTGCTAACCCTATCCAGTTTCTAAAGGCAAAATTTAACTCCACACTAGGGAATTTAATTTTTAGTTTTACACACACCTCCCATGAATATTTGAAGATTTAGTTCCAGCAGTTAAAGGAGTCAAACAGAAAGGACAGCATACAGAGAAAAATGTCAACATGTGGGGGACGGGGAAACAAAGACAAAAGAAAGACACTGGGAAAATGACCTATTGAAAAGCTCAACTGACAGAGATTGTGTACGTTTGAAAAAAAAATGTTATGACCAATGACGTGATGTTAATGTATAACAAAAACACACAGATCTTTATCTTTCCCAAAACCATATCAGGAAATAAGGTGTGAGATGAAGGGCTTATACTGCAAATCAGAAAGGTATTTCTGAAAAGGAAAAATAAAACACAATCGAAGAGATTATTACGGGTTGTGGTGGATTTCTTTGTATAGCTGTTTATTTTATTGAAAGAAAAGAAATAACATTCTAACATCCGAAAACAAAAGATGCACATTAATTGTGCAGGCTGTAGCCTGCAAAGACGTGCCCTGAAATCTCAATTTATGATGAAATTCTTTACTGAAGCATACACATCAGTGTGCACCCACATACAATAAGAAAACGACACACCCTCTTGTTAGCCTTGCAAACTAAAAGGTAGTCTCAGTCTTTCACAAGGCTTCAAGGGAGATACAAATGTGTGTTACTAGGAGCATTTACAACCAGGGAGTTTTCTAAGAATTTTCTGGGGAAATCCCTCTAACCAGATTTGGCTCTCACACAATAAATACCCTTTTTTATTCTACCTTCTCCCTCTTACCTCTACAGTCCTTTTTATTTGGAAGCATAATAAAACCGCTTTTACAGGAACAGTGGTAACTTCCAGGGGTATTATCACAAATCTGGCTGCAACCTCCATTCACATTTGAAGGATCTTTGCATTCATTTATATCTGCAAAGGGAAAAACAAATTATGTCTAAGGAATATAATCTTTAGAGAACTTTTGGAAAGGCTAACCCAGATGAGCCAGGTAGGTTTATTATACGTACCAAATTCGCACTTGTCTCCTTGCCAGCCTAATTTACAAATGCAAGTGAATGTAGCTTGGCCATCTTTGCAGCGCATATATCCATCTTCATTGCATGGCAGAGGATCACATTGGTCTGGAATGGCTAAAGGAAAAAGATATCTATTTAACTTTTACCTAATTCCATAGTTAAATTGTACATCTTTTAATAAAAATCTTTCTTATGAAGGCTATGACCAATGAATGAAATTGCAACTCCTTCCTTCAAAAAAAAAATGTTTTTAGTAAAAAGTGAGTCCATAAGGTAAATCTTTGTAATTACTTTGTAAAGTGACTCTACTTTTAAACTGTTCATCTGTACAGAATTTTGTAACTGGAATATAGATGTATTCCTAAATATATTACCTTATTTTATCTTAAAACAATTCCATGACGTAGGCAGAGCAAATACTACTACTCTTAGTATCAACAGAAATAAAAAATAAAATTAAATTTTGACCTTTGAATTCAGGCTAACATGGAATAACAGGGATCAGATTTACCCTCTTGCCTTACATAAGTAGATTCAGTCACAATACATGAAATGTTGATTTTCTAACATTGTAGAACAGGAAGAAGAACACTGCGATTCCTAAAGGAAGGGAAACAGACAAAGTGAACCCCACGATGGTCCCTTCCTGCCCAGAGACAGTGCAGGAAACTCAAACAAGGTACAGTGGTCTTTCTGGGTTCAAACGATAAATACTGGCATTTGGAATGTCAAATTAGGATTTTCCTAGTCAGAGTATGGTGACGGTAGTCAGAGAAAAAGTGTGTATGGAGAAAAGGTGGTGAGAGAAAGTGCGTATGTGGGGGAGAGGAGGTGGAAGAAGAGAGGGGCAGACTCTAGAGATGTGCAAACAACAGCTCCTAAACTTTTGGGCTGAAAAATCTCCTACACAGGACAATTTCCAGAACTCATACGAGGCTAGGGATAATTCATTTTAGACTGACTAGACTGAAAATATCTCATAGTTTGGAAGGCATCAGATAAAATCCTCACAAGGATATAGCCTTATTATCAAGATTAAATTAATTTTAAGCTAATGGCTCCTCCAGACTGTCCTAACAGAGCTTAATTTTAAATCAGGCTTTTATTTTTTAAAACTTCAGATTAATATGAGGGTACAAGCGATTAGGTTACAATGCTTGCATTTGTCTGAGTCCGTCTTGTAGTTGTGTCCCACATCCATTAGGTGTGCCATGTGCCCTTATATTGTGCCCATTAATAGGGAGCACACCAACACCCCCTTCCTCTTGTTTTCCTCTCCCTTCTTCCTGCTCCCCCCAACTTGAATTAAATTGAGTTTTTCCCTTGTGTGGGCAGGTGTTAGTTCATTTACTGTCTTCATCTTGGCGTGGGGTACATTCCATTTTCCACTCTTATGATATGTTACTAAAAAGAATGTTCTCCATCTCTAACCAGGCTAATACAAAATAGTGTGTATGGCTGAATAGTATTCCATGATATACATATGCCATGATAAACATATGATATACATATGTTTATTAATCCATTCATGGGTTGATGGCCACTTGGGGTGACTCCATATCTTGGCAATTGTGAATTGAGCTGTGATAAACAATCTAGCACAAATGTCCTTATGATAAAATTATTACTTTTTCTTCTGGGTAGATGCCTAGTAATGGGATTGCAGATCAAATGGAAGGTCTATTTTGAGTTTTTTGAGGGTTCTCCATACTTCTTTCCAAAGAGGCTGTATTAGTTTGCAGTCCCATCAACATTATAAAACTGTTCCTTTCTCTCCACATCCCCACAAGCATCGGAAGCTTTAGGACTTTGTCATATGGGCTATTCTCACTGGAGTTATGTGATCTTGTTTTGATTTGCATTTCTCTGATTATTATGGACAATAAGCATTTCTTCCTGTTTGTTGACCATCCACCTATTTTCTTCAGAGAAGGTTCTGTTCATGTATCTGGCCCAGTGATAGATAGATTTTTTTCTCTTCTGTTTTTGATTAATTTGAGTTACCTTAGATTCTAGTTATCAAAATTTTTATTTTTGACATATTCCAAGTAACTTAGGTGAATACCAAACCAAAAACACTATTTGTAACTAGAATCCAACAAAATAAACTACTTATTTTCCTTCCCTTAAGCATTAGAGTACTATGCTGCCTGTTATACAGGGCCTAGAAACTGCTGGTTCCTATGTTTGATCAGATTTTTACCAGTTTAAGGCAGAATGGTAAGTCTGGTCCCCATTACTTTATCTTAACTCAAATTAGAAGTCCAAAATTCATTTTTCTGATGACACTGGGAGTAATATTTGTTCTCTCTGATAAAAATTTTAACTAGGCTTGCAAAGGAATACACGCCCAAACCAATACAAAATATCAAATTCAAATGATGAAAATCAAAATCAAAACCGTAAGTGAAAGAGATGATAGAATAAGCACAAAAGTCAGTACAACTATTATAAATAACTCTACATGTCTCTGCAATAAACACAAGCAAACATAAAATAAAAAAAAGATGACCTAAAGGGACTTACTGAGATCCAAAGTAAAATATGTGAAATAAAAAACATACTGAATAGGATTAAAATCAAATTATGCGTGACAGAGGACAGGAATAATGAACTTGAAGACAAAAATTTATCCAAAATGAAGGACAAAAAACTAAATAAATAAATAACCAGAGCATTAGTGACTTGTTAAACAATACCAAATTACCTAACATATGTTATTGAATTTTCAGAAGAGGAAATACATCTGAGGAAAAGAAAAAAAATCATGAAGAAATGATACTAAATAATTTCTCAAGTTTAATGAAAGCTATGAACCCACAAACCCAAGAATCTCAGCTAAGCCCATGCAGAATAAACTTAAAATATATCATTTCAATTTAAAGAAAAACCTAGTGATTAAGAGAAATCTTAAATGCAGATAAAGTTAGTCCCATCTACTCAGGAGACTGAGGCAAGAGAATTGTCTAAGCCCAACAGTTGGAGGTTGCTGTGAGCTTGTGATGCCACAGCACTCTACCGAGGGTGATAAAGTGATATTCTGTCTCAAAAAAAAAAGAAAGAAAAATGCAGATAGAAGAATAAACACATTACACATATGCGGGGAAAAGCTAAAAATGACAACAGATTTCTCATCAGAATCTATTCAAGTGAGTGGGCAATGGAGGGACACCTCTGAACAACTGAAAGAAGAGCATTTTTAACAACTAAGTCTTTATCCATTATAAACGTCTTCCAAAGATAAAGCAACATAGGGTGATTTTTATTCAAAAATCTTAGAAAATCCATCTTCATCAGACATGCACTATAAAAAAGATAAAAGGCTGTTTTTCAGGCAGATGGAAATTTGGATCTACACAAACAAATGCCACAAATTATAAATAGGTGAAAAAATATAAATTAATATTTTCTCATTTGTAAATCTATTTATAAACTAATGTATTGTGGAGCTGCTAATGTCTAACATTAAATCTAAATACAAAAATAGAGAAAATAAAATTTTATCATTTCAAGTTCCTTGCACATATATGTATATATTATTTTAATATAGACTAAAAAAGTTAAAAACGCAACACTAAAGAACAAAAGTGGTTTAAGAGGTATAATTAATAAACAAATAGTGTATATACCATAAAATCAGTCCCCCAAAGAGACTAAATTAATCAGCACAATTGCAGGAAGAAGAATTAAAAAAACAGATGAGATCAGCAGATTTAAACCCAGTCATATCAATGGATAAATTCTATCTAAATGGCCTATACCATTGGTTCTCAACCTTCCTAATGCCGAAGCCCTTTAATACAGTTCCTGTGGGTCGTGACCCACAGGTTGAGAACCGCTGGTCTATACTTTAACATTCCAATTAAAATACAGAAATTGGGCGGGGCACAGTTGCTTATGCCTGTAATTCTAGCACTCTTGGGAGCCCCAGGGGGGAAGATCGCTTGAGGTCAGGAGTTCAAGATCAGGCTGAGCAAAAGCAAGATCCTACCTCTACCAAAACCAGAAAAAAATTAAGCAGGTGTGGTGCTTTGGTGACACCACTGCACTCTGTCTCAAAAAAAAAAAAAAATGATAAAGCACAAATTAAATGCAATAGAACCTTCATAGCTGACCATCTCCCTATACTGACCACCTCCTTACATTGACCTAATTTTTATAGACTGGATATGGACCACGTGCACGTACAGTACAGTGGGCCTAGTTCCTTATGTTGACCAGTTTGTTACAGTCCATTGGGTGATGAACTTATAGAAGTTCTACTGAACACCTATGCGTCAGGCAAATTTTCCACCTGTGTAATTTTAGCCACTTTAAATTACAGAAGATGGATATAGATGAATATAATATTTAGAGAATGACTATGCTGCATGTGAAATAGTCACTGAACAAACATCACAGTTTATATCTTGCAGTTGCACTTTTTTGCTTTTACTGTCAGTAGGGAAGTTGGTAAATTAGTAAAAAATAATCTACCAAATTTATTATTAGGCCCTATGTGAACTGCAGAGCAAAGGGCTAATTTGATTCACATTCTACTTCCCACATTTATAGTACTGAGGCCAAAAAGCTAGAAGAATAAACATGGCCTTACTTTGACTATTAATCAACTGTCACATTTGGTCATAATGCATGATTACGTAACAACAGCCAAAATAAAGCTGTTAAAGAATAAAAAATTCTGAAGTCAATGACCTAGAGTTTACCCAACAAGGAACACTGTTCAGTTTAAACATTAGATGAAAAATTCATTTTGAGTAAAACAGAAGCATTTACAACTGAAAAACATTCTTTCAAATGAAGTTTAAGAATACTTTTTTGCTGAGCATACAACCCATCAAAGGCTTATTTGTTGATTTTAAACAGTAGATTGTGCTAACATGAACATACTTGCAGGGCTTTGGCTTTGTTCCGTTTTGTTTAAATTGATGGTAGCAGGACTTACCATTGACACAGCTCCTTAGGTCAGGGTGAGCATTAGTCGACTGACGTGCAGGGGTGAATAATCCAGCTCGAAAAGAGCCGAGACATCCTGCAAAAAAAATCATAGGTAACCCTAAGTGGACAGGCACTTGATCTGAAATCGTGGTCAAATTTAGCTCAAGAGGAAGGATATTTATGCTCCTGTGGACACACAAGACTCAGTATTCAAAATGCCAACTATAAATATTTGTATTTACCCTTTTGAAAAATTAAAAATCTGGAAGCAAGATTACATCAATACAGAATCAGGAAAAAATAGGTTTGTGACAACTTCTTCACTCTGGAGAAGAACCTCAAAACCAGAAGTGACCTTGGAGTAGCAGGGAAACTTATGGTCACATAAATCTACATTCTTCATTCCATGAAAGAGATGTAATGTTATCCTCAAGTCTATAGACCAGGACCTGATTATTTATAAAGTGTATATCATTAAGTCAGTAGAATGCATTAGGCTTCTATTTCTTTTTTTGATGTTGCACATTTGTATAACGTCTCAATGCTACAAAGTAGGTTACTTCATTCCTTTCATTCTTCACAACAATCCAGTGAAATGAGATATGGTAACCTGGTATATATTGCTAGAAACTGAGAAATAACAGCTGAAATAATAGAGATGAAATAGTAGGGACTTTAAAATAATTAGGGGTCTTTTAGTGCCAAAAATACAGTTCTGGATAGCCAGTGAAGACAGTATGTGTATCGCTTCATGGTTGAGATAATTAAGAACTTGCTAAAAAAGGTGGTTTTTTGGCTATATTTTGATGAGTAACAAACAACCCCCCAAATTAGTAGCGTCAATAATCCTCCTATTTTCCACATGATTTGTGGATCAAATATTTGGGAATAGTTTGGCTGGGCTGTTTGTCTCTGCAGTGTGGAGAGTCAGCCGGAGTGGCTGGGGCTAAGGCATCCACTTAGATGGGGATCCACTGTGGGACTAAGGCATCCACTTCCAAGATGGTGCACTCAGTGTCTTTGGCATATCTGTTCCCACACGGTACATCATGCTGCAGGACCTCTCCACGTAGCTGAGCTTTCCTTAGCATGCCGCTGTTAAAGTGGAACTTCTTTCATGGCAGCTAGCTTCCATGAAGAGGAAAGCAGACACTCCCAGGGCAGTTAAGGGGGGTTGTATCACATCTACCATATTCTATTGATCAAAGAAGTCCCAGAGTCTGCTGAGAGTTGGAGGGAAGACAGATTATACCTCTTAATGACAAAATGACAGTAGAAAAGAAGAGTTTATAGGACAGGTGGTACTGTTATGCTATCTTTGGAAACAGGCAATTTATCACAGATTCAAAGGTTCATTTGAAGTCAGTAGGTTTTTAAGTTTCCTATTGCTGCTGTGACAAATTACCACCCACTTATTAGCTTTAAAAGTGGGAGTCAGAAGCCTAAAACCAAAGTGTCAATAGGACTTCATTACTTCTGGAGACTTCAAAGGAGAATCTACGAGGTCTGACAGTTAACTCTGCAAACTCAGCCTAGAAAAGTACTATATACCTCACTGGTGAATATCACTATGGCCACCTTTGAAGTATGTCCCTTGGGAAGCTATGCACTAATGCCAGAGCCTAGGCCACACGTCAAAGAAATTTTGGAACTCTTTTTCTGGAATGGCCATCAGAGCTGTCATCGTATTGTCCTGGAGGTTCTGAATATCATCAAAATGTCTTCCTTTCAATATTTGCTTTATCTTCAAGTAAAGAAAAAAGTCATCAGAAGCCAGATCAGGTGAGTAGGGAGGGTGTTCCAGCAGTTATTTGGTTACTGACTAAAAACTCCTTCACAGACAGTGCCGTGTGAGTTGGGGCATTGTGATGATGCAGATCTCATGGCCAGCATTTTCAGTTAAGATTTTCCTGTTTCCCACAGCTACCAATAATTTTGACACACAGTTCGATGAATGTTTGCAATGCTTTCACCAGTTCTGCTTCTTACTGGCCTCCCTGACCTCACTGACGTTTCTCTCCCCTCGGAAGAGCATTTAATCCATTTGTACACTGCCATTTTCTTCATGGCATTATTCCCCAAAATTTGACCTAGTATGTCTTTGATTTCACTTCCACTCTTGCCACATGTAACAAGAAATTTATGAATGTTTGCTCATTGCTGTAATTCAAGCTCTGACATTCTCCTGACAGAACACCCAACAATGGTAATGAGTGCCGCTCAGCAAGACTCTGCCACCATCTCCTTCTCCTTCTTTTTCCCCTGTCTTTCTCACGTGTGTTTCATTACGATGACCATGTATGATAATGTGCCCAGGAAAATCCTATTTTATTCATTTATGCCTGGCGTTGATCTAGTAGAATAATCCTAAACTGGGTGTCAGAATTTGCAACATAAACGATATAGTTGTTCTATATTTAAGTTTTATCAAGCTCAGAAACTTTCCTTACATTCTTCGTTTGACAAACGTTTTTATCATAATTAAATGTTTAACTTTATTAACTGCTTTTTCTTTCTTCTTTTTTTTTGATTTCAAATTAATGTGAGGATACAAACAACCTAAGTTACACTGCTGGCATTTGTTAGGTAGAGTCCCTCTTCTGGTTATGTCCCACACCCAGGAGGTGCCATATACCCTTTCATTGTGGTCATTAACTGGGAGCACACCAACCCCCCTCCATCTTCCCTCTCCCCCAAACTTGAGTTTTCTCTCATGTGGGCATGTGTTAGGTCATCTACTAGCTTCACATTAGTACTGAGTACATTGGACACTTGCTTTTTCATTCTTGTAATACTTTACTAAGAAGAATGTGTTTCAACTCCATCCAAGTTAACACAAAAGAAGTAAAATCTCTTTTTCTGGCTGAATAGTATTCCATGGTATACATGTACTACAGCTTGTTACTCTATTCCTGGGTTGATGGGCATTTAAGATGCTTCCACATCTTGGCAATTGCAAATCAAACTGTGATAAACAATCTAGTGCAAATGTCCTTTGATTAAATGATTTTTGTTCTTCTGGGATGATGCCCAAGAATGTCATTATGGGATCAAATGGAAGGTCTATTTTGAGTTCTTTGAGGGTTCTCTATACCTCTTTCCAAAGAGGCTGTATTAGTTTGCAGTCCCAACAATAGTGTAAAAGTGTTGCCTTCTCTCCACATCCCCAACAGCATTGGCAGCTTTCGGAATTTGTTATGTGGGCTATTCTCATTGGCATTAGTAGATATCTCAGAGTGGTTTTGATTTGCATTTCTCTGATGACCAGGGATGATAAGCAGTTTTTCATATATTTGTTACCAACTGCTTTTTCTATATGATCTGAGATCATAATATTCTATATCCACGGAGATTGTACTGATATATTTTCTGATGTTAAACTATCCTTAAATTTCCAAAACAAACTCAATTTATTATTTTTAACACACTTTAGGTTAGTTATCATTTTAGTTAGTATTAATTAAAAAATTAAAAGGAATTCTATTTGTCTTTGTGCTGTCCTTATCTTTGGAGTCAAGATTACATTCACCTCTTAGAATAAGCTACAATATAGAAGATCTTCCCACTTTTTAGGGAAAGTCCATAAGAGAAAAATTAACAATTTATTTAAATTTGGAAGAACACATCTATAAAACCACCTGGATCTGGGTTTGGGGGGAAATAGTGAGAAGAGGGCTTTGAAGTTTATCTTGTTTTGTATGTATTTGTATAATCAAATTCTCTATTTCTGCCTGTGAAATTATAGGTACATTTTTCTAGGAAGATACCCATTTTATCTTGGTTTCCCAATGTATTTTGGTATAGCTGTTCATACTAGTTTGAGTCTAACATATATTTTTAATATACGTTGGATTTAGACTACTCCCCCCTTTCATCCCGTACTTTGTGTATTGGCATTTCTTTTTCTTGTTTTTCCTTAATTATTCTGACTGGATGCCCATCCAACTCACTAATATCTTCAAAGAATGAGACTTTGCTTTTGTTAATATTCTCTTTTGTCGATTTTGCTTACTTTTATCTCTACGATTATTATCCTTTTATTTCTTGTTAGTCAGAGTTTGTTCTACTGTACTTCTTTGGTTCTTTTTCTTGATTTGAAAGTTTAGGTCATTTTTAAAACCTTCCAGTCCATTCTCTCTCTGCTGTCTTAGCTCTTAGCACCTTGATTCCCGCCCCACACTCACGAGGTCAAGCCCCCCTCAGTCTACCTGGGCTTCTTACATTTTCTTCCACTTCTTGCTGTTTTTACTTTATTTTGTTATTTCAGTGCCTGAAATCTTACTATATCTGTAGAGATGACTTGAAGAGAGGGAGTCAATAGTCTGGGTTAATTCGCCAACTTAGCAGAAGCAAGAAACTGAAAATGAATTCTCATGTTTATGTGCAGGCTCAAAGCTTAGCATTCATCCCAGGAAGTTTCTCTCTCATTAACAGAATTATCTCCTCCAGTGGGTGATATTTTCAGAAGCCTACACAGATGGTAGAGCTATTCATCTTATTTCACAAGGAACAAACACCACAATTAAAAACTTACATTTGTACAATGAAACACAGGGTATTTTTTCCCAAATTGCATGTTTTCAAGACAGTCCCTGAGACATGTGAGCAGACTGAAGTGCTTTATGAGCCTACAAACTAAGTCTAAATACTGTCAAAAAGTATGGGCTACAGTGGTCTATTCTTTTCTTATAAGCTCCCTGCACAAGATATCATAATTAGTAAAACTACTTTTAAGTTTTCCAGGGACAAGATCATAAAGGCTTTTTTTCCCCCTCAATTTAGGGCCAGTCATAGGCTATAGAATATCTGCATCAAATGATAGAAAAGTTTAACTTAGGTAGGGCATTTTTTTTCAGGTTTTTAACAGTGAGATTCACCACATCTGCCTATATGTAAAGAACAATATATAAAATTTGAATCAAAATATAATAAAAATATACTTTTGTTTCATATGATAGGTTGACTAAATAATAATACTTTACAGCAGAGCCAAGTTTGACAAAGTAAAAAAAAAATCCATCTATATACATACTCTTATTTGATATTCCAAGAGCTCTGAAGTTAGGAAATACTGTGCAGTTACAGTATACATTCAAAAATACAGAACCTGAAAGTTAAATAACTTGCTTAACCTGACAGAGCTAAACATTTTTAGGTCTGGGATTAAAAGCCCACATTGGTGATTTTTCTTTTTTTTTTTGGTTTTGTTTTGTTTTGTTTTTCATACTTTGGTTCCATGCTGCCAAGTAAGACAGGCAAAGAAAAGAGAAAATTAAGTGGAGCCAGAAAAGAGAAAGCTGAGAAGGATAAAAGGAGTAAAGAAAAATATTTTATCTAAAGAACTTTCCCAGAACACGTAATGCATGCTAAAATGTTATTTGTCTTTATCTGAATGTACTCTGTGATCAAAGGAATATATATTCTGGAGTGTTGCACCTGCAAAAACATAGCCTCCTTACATGGCCCTAAGAAGCAAAGGTTAATTATATATATGTATATATTTTTTTTCTTTCTTTCTTTTTTTTTTTTTTGCAGTTTTTGGCTGAGGCTGAGTTTGAACCCTCCACCTCCAGCCTATAGGGCTGGTGCCCTACTCCTTTGAGCCACAGGCGCCACCTGTTAATATATATTTTTAATGGAAGGTTGCAATTTATAACAGCTAAACAGTGTCTATTTTATTATAAAATATTTCAATTCCTACCTAAATTAAGAAGCTGAAATAGTCTTGATATTATTCTTTCTTTCGCCCACTTTGATGGTACAAATGCTTGACGTGTAACTTTATAAAAGGAGACATCTTTTTTGTGGGTATATACCTATATTCCATTGCCCTTTTAAAATATAGCAGCTAAGGCCGGATGTGGTGGTTCATGCCTGTAATCCCAGCACCCTGGGAGGCCAAGGCAGGCAGATTGCCTAAGCTCACAAGTTGAAGACTCGCCTGAGCTACAGCAAGACCCCCATCTCTAAAAATAGCCTGATGCTGTGGTAGCCGCCTATACTCCCAGCTACTTGGGAGGGTGAGGCAAGAGAATCTCTTGAGCCCAAGAGTTGAGGTTGCTGGTTCAGCGCCTGTGGCTCAAGTGGCTAAGGCTCCAGCCACATACACCCAAGGTGGCAGGTTCAAATCCAGCC